GTGGAGTTGGGAAAGAAACCCAGAGGGTGAAGGCATGCTGTCTGTGGGCCAGATAGCTTGGAAGGTAGCTTGGATCTTGGGCTTGGAAGGGGCTAAATCGGGGGTCTCCGGGGCTGGGCAATGGGGCTGGTCCAGGGCCTGCATCTCTCCTCCCTCTGCTGAGGGGGGTGAGTGCCCAGGCAGCTGCCGTGTTTGCTCATGACCTTCCCACTGGGACCATATGCCACAGTCTCCTGTTGGCAGGCCTGGGTCTGAGGGTGCCCTGGAGGTGGGTAGGGGGTGTTAGATTTTAAAAAAAGAGACTGGACTCAACCCCAGCTGTGGGACGACTTCGTGAGTCACAGCCCAGAAATGCAGGGTCAGGGAGTGGAGCCAGAGGGGAGGGTATTTTTAACTGCCGGAAACATGAGGAACCTGTCAAAAATACATGAAATCCACTAAATTAATTGGGAAGAAAATGGCAAGGTCTTATTTGTTTGTTTTTTTGTGAGTGTAAACATTGTTTAATGGCCGTGTTCCCTTGAGCTGAAGCATCAGCCGTAGGAGGCCGTGGGGAGAGAGATTATGAGTTCAGGGGACCCAAGAGATCAAAGGCAGAGATAACCATGGGGATACCAGCCCCTGAGAGTCCTCAGAGACCCGCGGCAATGCTGGGCTTCCCACTGAAGATGGGTGGAGGGGGGATGATTTTATTTCTATACTAGAGGCTCAGTGCACAAAAGTTGTGCACACGGAGGGGAGGGGCGAGGGGGGGAGGTCCCTCAGTCCAGCCTGCACCCTTTCGCAATCCAGGACCCCTCAGGGGATGTCAGGCTGCTGGTTTAGGCCCGATCCTGCAGGGATCCCTGCGGGATCGGGCCTAAACTGGCAGTTGGACATCCCTCTTGCAATCCGGGACCACTGGTTCCTAACTGCTGGCCTGCCTGCCTATTAACAGCATAGTAAGGGGAAAAAAGGAAAAGGCTGCAAAATATGCTGAACTTTGGGATAAGAAAATGAAGAGGCCCAAGAAAATTCCAGGAACAGACCAAGAGACGGAGGCTGTCCTTTCTGAGAACTTCTCCCTCTAAGTCTGAGTCCAGTCAAAAGTGAGCTTTCCTAAGAATAACAAATCAATAAGAACAGACGGGGCGGGAGGTGGGGGTGTTGGGGGTGGGGGGAGAAGGGACTCTTTCATTGCAGCAACCAGTAGGGATCAGAAAGAATCTTACTTCGTGGGCAGCCAGAGAAATGGAAACCGACATGACTGAGAAAGGGGCGCTGCTAGGATGTTAGGTTGAGGTTCAGCCAGTGCCCCAGATGGCCAGACTGGAGGCCGCGGAGACCGGAAGGTGTTGAGGACACTGAGAAGAGGAGGGACCATCAGCGACAGGTCCGATGGGCAGCTAAGGAGCCTGGACTTGGACCCGGAGGTGTGGGCCAGGGAAGGGACTTCAGAAATAAACCTCTCTGTCAGCCACAGCGGAGGAAGGGTCGACCAGGGACTCATCGGAGATGGGGGGGAGGCCAGCTAGGAGGTGGCCACCCAGCCCCGTGAGCAATAATGAAGGGCCGTCCTGACACAGCCTCTGTCACACCACCCGTGGTGCCCAGGAGGTCCATCTGCGATGTCCCCACTGCATTACTCCAGGCAGGGCAGCCCTGAGACCAGGATGGCCAAGAGAGCGTGTCTCTTCCATGTATGAAGAGCGGCTGCCTGGAGCCCCGCCGTGGACTCGGCAGCTTCAGGACCCCTGAGATGAAGAACCGCCCCGATGGGTGATGTCTGGGGTGGGAGGTGCGGGAGTGAGGTGACGCTCATTCATACTCACCACACACACCCAATAACTGTTTACTCAGCACCTGCTACCGGCCAGGCACAGGTGCTGTGATGCCATCCTCCTTGCAGGGCTCAGTTCTCTAGGGCTCAGCCACAGAAAGAGCAAAAGGCCCCCTGCCCACCCCCTTCTCCCCCCACCCCCCTAACCCCAGGCTCCGCTTCGCTCTGCACCTTCTCCCTCGGGGCTCCTCCGAGGCCTGGGGAAAGGCCTGTGTCCCATTCTTCCAGAGCCTCAACAAATTAGCTGCTGGTAGTTATTTGTGGAAGAACGTAAATGCATGAATTACCATATTTTCCACTTTTATTCATTTCTTTAACAAAGTAATTAACATATACATTTTGCAAGCCCTTTCCAAGGATTTGGAGATGAATTATGCCCAATCTTTGCCCTCTGGGAGGCACCATCTAAAGATTAAACACGTGCCCAGACACCTGTAAAATCGTCCTAGTTTATAAATCCAAACTCCTCGGGGCACCTGGCTTCAGGGAGGCAGACACTCTGGTCTGGGGCCCAGGGGACCAGAGGGAATGTGCACGAGGTGACCACCCATGGGGCGAAGGGTGAGGCCAGCTGCCCGTCCCCCACCCATGCCAGCCCCAGCCCAGGCAGGGCCCCCTCCATGCCTCCCTGTACCCCTGGAGCCTCGAAACAGAGCACAGCTGTGCGGGTGGGGTGGCAGCAAGAGGTCAGAGTGAGAATGGCCACACAGATCCCCTGAAAGGAAACACTTGGAGACATCAGTCGGAGTCTTGCTCTCCAAAGGCCAGGCTCTTTGTCACTCCGGCTGCTGGCACCGCCCCCTTGTAGCCCAGGAAGCAGCATGGAAGGAGCAGGGCAAGTGCAGTCCATGCTCCAGCCCCGTCGCCTGCTTCCCATGCTGACCGCACAGCACCTGTCTCAGCCCATCCGCTGTGCCCACGGCTCTGCCCTATCGCGGGTACAGAGGGGCTCTGTCGGTTCCCCCAGCTCTGAGCACAGTCCCTGCCCATGGCTGTGTTCTCCAGTTCTCAGCCCCTGGGACCTGCCCACTCCTGGCTTGTGAGAAAGGGGAGGTGGTGGTGGTGGTGTGGGGGTGGTAATCAGGGAAAGAAATAGGACAGCTCAGGGCCTTGGAGGACACGGTGAGGTGGAGGAGGGAAGGAGAAGGTCCCAGGGCAGAGTGGTGGGCCATGGGGACAGGAAGAAGTACAGGGTGAGGAGATGGAATCCACCCAGGGCTCAGGCCCAGCTGTGATCCCCAAAAGGGACCCAAGGACTTGTGGAACCCCCTCCCCAGAACGTAGGCCTCTCTTCTGGGACGGTCTGAGGCCAGGACCAGGAGGCAGGGCAGCTACGTGCACAGGGGTTTTGAAGAGCCTGTGAGGCTCGGCCTGTGAGCTGGGGAGGCCTCCGACTTAGGCCGTTCTCTGTGGTTTCCTCCTGCCGAGTGGAGGCGGCATGGGTGCTGCAGGAACCAGGCACGCATGCAGATGTGTGCACACAGCCACTCACGCAGGTCCCCAGGTCCCTGGAGAGGGTCCCCGTGCCCCTCTGTGGCTGGTGACTGATGAGCCATCACTGCATTTGGGGCCAGGACCCAGAGCAAAAGGACAGAGCAAGGAGGGTGAGCAGAAAACAAATCTGCAGGTGGCTCTGGGACCAGGAACCCTCGGCCGGTGTGGGAATGCCCTCCCGGGGCCCACAAGGGTGCTCGTCAACATGTTTATTCTGGTGAGGGTCTTCTTGGAGGGCTGCTTACGGAAAACTGTTTAGAGACTGCTGATGCAATATCATTGTCTGTCTGTCTATACAGAACCATGAGTTCTGAGAAGACAGGCACCCATGGGACCCATCTCATTATCACCAGCACTCAGCCTCATGGCCGCATGCCGCTGATGGTCAGAAGAAGCTTTGTTGTGAAAGGGAAGTGGGCAATGGAGGTCATGAGCGGGAAAGGGGTGGGCAGTGGAGGCCATGGGTGGTTTCTGGGTCTGGTTCCCTGGCAGTGGGATGGGGGTACTCCCCCCACCCGTTAGTAACAGAGAGAGTCCCCTGGTGCCAAGTTTGGTGCTGATGGGTCCCATTTCCTGCTTCCCTAGGAAGTGCCACAGGCATTACTCAGAGGCTCAGAGGGGCAACTGGGTGGGGCTGTGACCTCTGTCTGGAGTCCCAGGGGGACTGACCTTCCTAACTGTCCCCTCTCAGCCCCCATTCCAGCCCACTCTGGCTGGCTGGCTCCCAGGAGCTGATGAAATTTGAATCTATCTGAAATGAAATTCCCTTACCTGGGAATGTACATAAGTGTGTGTCTGAAGTGCATGTACACACAAGAAGGTGTGTGTGTGTGTGTGTGTGTGTGTGTGTTCCGGGGACTCTGAGCAATCTTGGTCCCTGGGTTCTGCCCAGATATTGGTCCTTGCAAGGGGCCATGAGTGCAAGAGGCGGCTTCTTACAGTGTTTCACCCACAGACACCCAGCCCCAGCCCAGAAGCCCCCGGAGCAGACAGGAGAGGATGACACGGGAGGGACAAGGGACAGAGGTGCATCCCAAATGAGCACAGCCTTCTTCCCTCTTCGCCTCCCTCCCCTGGGGCAGCCCTGCCCATCCACACAGCCCTTCCACACAGTCCTTTCCTGTTCTTAGTACCCTCCTGTCTGCAATGGGCCCTTATTGCCCCGTCTCAGGCACGCGTACTGGGATGAGGTGACGTGACAAGGCCACCCAAGGACTTAGAGCTGGGACCACCTGGGGGCTGGAGAGGGGTTAAGAGCACAGGAGTTGGAGTGAGGCCACCCTGGTTTGAGAACCAGCTGTCACTGACTAGCCATGTCTCCATGGGGCCTCAGTTTCCTCATCTATAAAATGGGATTGAAAGTACAGCCCCCACCTCATGCACTTGTGCTATGGATTGAGTGAGGCACGAAGTGGAGCGAGCTCGCCACATGTTCCTGCCAGGCCCCCTGGTCATTAGTGCAGGCGGAGGCCATGGGGAGTGTCCCTCTGCCCCTTGCTTGCGTGTGCACGTGCACACACACACACACACACACTTACACACACACACACTCTTACACACTGCCCACTTCCTGAAGGGCCCCCAATCTCTAGGCAGAGATCCACCTCTCCCCTCCTCCAGCACCCACCCCACCCCCAACTCACCAGTCAAAGCCCTGCTCACCCACAGAGTCCACTCGACACAAGCGTTTTCTTTACACGTTGGGGCTTTTACTTCAATTTGAAGCAGACGGTTGAGCACAGATATGAACAGCTTTGGCCATTTGAGCAAAGAAAGGAGAAGGCCTTGGCGTTACACATGCCCACTCCCCCACATACTGGCCCATTCCGCTGGTCCCTTCCTCCCTCGGCCCCCTGCGTAACTAGTAAGAGAACACTGGCCTCCAAGCAGGCGCCATCTCCTTTGCCCGGCCAGGAAGTGTTGGCTGGGGAGCAAAGACCCCCTAGGCAGGTCTCCTTGAGCAGGTCCCTGGGGTGGGGTATAGGGTGGTCAATGTTGCTTCTTTTCCCCGTGTCCCCCCTTCCCATGGTGCTCAGAGCCCAAGAAGAGAAGCCTGGACCCAGGAAACATTGAGAATCAGGGTCGAGGCCTGGGCAGCCGGTTAGAGGGAGAGAAGGGGGCCGGGATCTCAGATCCCACTCCCGACAGGCACCCTAGCCTGCCTCTCACACCCCCGGGGGCTTATCTTGAACCCCACTAGCTCAGGGCTCAGTGTAGAAAGAAGGGTCCAGGTCAGAAGGTCAGGTGCACCCAGTGGTCACCAAACGTCCCTCCTTTCCATGAGTTCTGGTGGAACTGCTGACTCGTCTTTGGCTTGAGATGGAAGCGGGCACCAGGAGGGCACAGGACACAGGGCACCAGTGAGGCTTTTCTCCGTGGGGTTTCCTCACCACGTCTTGCTCAGTGTCTCTGTGGTGTCTTTGGCAATGAATTGCTGCAGCCGGAAGGTGGGCCTCGGGCCCCAGGCAAGAGGGAGGCTGAGCTCTCCCCTCCCCGCCAGGCAGAGGGCAAAGTGCAGTCACCGTGGAGTGGCCGGGAGGGCGGGAGGGTGAGAGGGAGGCAGCGTGTTCCTGTCTGACCCTGAGAGGCAGTGGTCTGAGCATCGGGCGGCACCTTGAAGAAGACGAGGCTGGACTTGGCGAGCTCCCTTCTCCTCGGGCTCGACTGGAAAGAGGGCCCACAGGATGTCCTTGGTCCAGCGCAGGGCCAGTCACTCCTGAAAAACACAGCCAACCGTCAGGAGCTGCCCCTGTTCGTTCTGACTCATTCCCAGAGGCCGACCAGGACCAGCCCCCCAGCCCCTGCTCTCGCTCAGTCATCACAGCTGCCCTGGATGGGCCTAGGCAGGGGCTGCAGAAAGTGGGTGAGCCAGCATTTTGACCCAGGACTGGCTGCCTCCAGGGACTACATTGTCCCCTTACCCGTCCTCTACCACAGTGTCACCACCACCATCACCACAGCCACCACCATCACCCCAGCATTTCAGAGCCACTGCTGATTGTGCTGGTTTGGGGCAATGGGCAAGGCTGCAGGGGGTACAGGCAGCTCAGGGACTCCTGGTCCTGAGACCACAATGCCGGATCACACCTCTGAGGGATGCCCGTCAGCCTGCCCCTAGGAGACGGTGTGCTCGGCCCTTTCCCTGCCCTGGTTGACAAGAGCACCACACCAGGCATCAGGGGCGGGCTAGTTGCAGCCCAGCCACCTGCAGCTGGATGGCCCGAGACAAGTGACGCAGCTTCTGTGCCTCAGTGTCCTCGTCTGTAAAATGACAGGACTGGAGCAGGTGGAGAATGTTCAAGCTTTCTCGTAAGCGTTAGAAATAAGTCTGAGCCGTGGCCCCTAACACAGAACACGGATCAACGCGGTTCTGGGCTACCTGGAGCATCGGGGCGAGGGGGACAGATCGAGGGGGGCCCAGTGCTATTGCATTCCCTCCCACGCTGCATCCCTGGGCATCTCGAGAGCCTGGGGCACTGAGGAACGTGACTGGAAAATCCTAGGTTAGTCCACCTTTAAGTTCCTCAGTCCTAATCCTGGGAAACTTCACCCTGGGAGCTGAACATGGTGTTGCCTGTGAGAAAACCGGCCGGAGGGTGTGACCTGCTCCCGGGCAGGGCCAGGAGATGGGGAAGGTCATGGGCTGCTGGGGTTTTAGTTCTGGGGGAGGTCAGAGCTGGTGGGGAAGGCTCTGTGAGGGCCCCAAGTCCACCCCAAACATGCGAACGGGTAACGGCAGTCCCTTAACCCGGCCCAGCACACCCCAAGTAAAGCAGTTCCAAATACTTCCTTCCCGATTTGCAACAACCCTGACCAAACAGCTAAGCACTTATTTTTGAAGCCAAACATCTGTCAGGCACCACCAACATGCCAGGGCACTTCCTCACATCCCCCTCAGCGCCGGCTGAGCAACCCCAGCTCAGGCAGCCCCGGCTCGGGCTCAGGGAAAGACGCGCGAGAAGTTGGCAGCAACAGGATTTGAATCCAGATCGGCGGCGTTAATCCTGCCACACAGGGGCTGCTCCTGCTGAAACGGAGGCTCGGGGAGCCGGGAAGGAGCCAAACCACCAGGCTGGAGGGCCTGTGAACCACAGTCCTGGGGCGCCCCGCTCAGCAGGCAGCCAGGGGGCGAGGCTGGGGCGAGGCTGAAAGTGGGGTCCAAGGCAGCGGGCAGCGAGGGAGCTGGGCCAGCGGGAGGGTGTGTCCTCAGGCAAACAGAGGCTGAGGAGGAGCGGGGAGAGTGAGAGCGGGGAGCATCTTGATGTGGTGAGTCCTGGCTCACATCCCCCGGCCCCTGCGGTGCACGGCCGGCCCCAGCAGGAATCTGCTTTCTGTTACCCCGTCTGAGGAGGAGGATTAAGAAGCAGGAAAGGAAACCCGTGGGGATGGCCCGGGGTCTGTGGTCCACGGGGTGATTTACAGCCCACGTCATCCTGGCGCTGGATGCCTGGGCGGGCCCCACCGAGGACAGCGGAGTTCCTTTCTTGTTCCGCTTGCCTGTACGTCAGCTCTCAGGCCCTCCTGAAGCCAGGGCTATCTCCCAAGAGCAAGGGAGATGAGGTGTCTCTGGCCAAGACCTGACCTGCAATTCTTTATTTATTTATTTAATATTTTTATTGAATTCAGAGAGGAAAGGAGAGGGAGAGAGAGATAGAAACATCAATGATGAGAGAGAATCAGTGATCGGCTGCCTCCTGCACACCCCACACTGGGGACCGAGCCCGCAACCCGGGCATGTGCCCTTGACTAGAATCGAAGCTGGGACCCTTCTGTCCACAGGCCGACACTCTATCCATTGAACCAAACCAGCTAGGGCCTGCCCTGCAATTCTTGACCCCACCCTTTCCCCCCCCCCCCGAGCCTACACCGGACCTGTGTTGCCACCACCCAGCTGGGCCCCGGAACCCCAGCACATGCATCATCTGTCCCAGGAAGCCTTGGGTCAGTTGGGGCGTGGTGGGAAGCACCCTGGGAGGCCTGAGGTGCCCGGACCTTCTCCGTGGTTACCCAGCTGTGTGACCGTGGGGCACGCCCTCCCTCTCTGTGCTTGCAGTCCTTCGCTTGTGCAGCAAGGGGGTTGTATGTGGGTCTGCACTCCCCAAAGGGTGCTCTGCGGGACGTGAGCGGAGTGAGATGGATCTCATGAGTTTGGGAAACCTCACAGGCCTTGGCCCATCCTGGAAAGTTACTGTGCCTCCTAGCATATTAAAGGCTCTGTCAAGTCCTGCAGCAGAGAAATTCCTGTGGTTTTATTTACCCAGTGTTTTCCGAACTCATTCGATGGATGATGCGATTCCAAGTGTATCACGAGTAGAAACTTATTCAACCTTCTGGTAAAGTAAAGCTTCCTTAAGGCTACAAAAGGGCCGGGGTGGGGGTGGAGGGGGGTCCCAGGAACGGCGGCCAAGGGCTTGGAAACCTCCGTCGGGGCGATCTGCGGGCCTTCCCTCCAGGTGCCAGCCAAACCCAGCACGAGGCCACTTGCAAGAATCTGTTTCTTTCCTGCCTGCCTGCCCACTGGCCCAGGCTCTCAGCATCCCAACCCCCAACGCCTAGTGGAGACCTCGACTGGTCCAGCCTCAGTCCAGTTTCTCCCCCTGGACCCATCAGCTCTGGCTGAGGAACAGGAGACAAACCTGCCCAGGCCGTCTCTTCAGAAGGAGCTGGGTAGGGGTGGGCAGGGAGGGTGAGTGTGTGCCCATGAGTGACAACACAGGGGAGTAGGCTGACCAACACTCCCCACTGTGTGACAACTATGCACAGGCACCTGGCAGCGTCACCCCACCCGACCCCCGTGTGAGGAGCACATCCTGGGAGGGCCTCTGGCATCCCCCCGCCCGCCCCTACCCCCTTGCGCTTTCGTGGCACTGCTTCTGCTGTGGCCAAGGCTCTGGGTGCGGCTGGGCAAGGCTCTTGTCCTACAGAACCCCCTGCACCACCGCCCCTCACCATGTAAGGTGCCCTTCAAACACAGGCTCTGCCGCTAACACAAACGCTGAAAACGAGACCGCCTCTCCGGTCCCTTTCAGCTGGCCTGCCGTGCTGGGTCGGACCCAGGCGATTTGGTCAGTGAGGCAAAGGGGTTGAGTTTATCACACTCAGAAGCCACCGTTTCACTTGCTCGCTCGTTGGCGGCAGAGCATCAGCTCCCCGAGAACGGGGATGCGGTCTGTCGTGTTCGCCGCTGTAGTCCCAGTGCCAAGGACAGTGCCCGACACACAGCAGCATCTCAATCAGTATTTGCTGAACAAGCGAATAAATATTTCTAGTTGCGGGGATTTTATTTACTATAGCACCCCCTCCCCCCATTGATTTTTAGAGAGAGTGGAAGGGAGGGAAGGGGGAGAGAGAAAGATCGATGTGAGACACATGGATCGGTTGCCTTCTGCACACACCTCAACCCAGGTCAGGATCGGGATGGCAACCCAGGTACATGCCCTTGACCGGTAATCAAACCTGGGCCGTCCCGTCTGCGGCCGATGCTCTAACCACTGAGCAACTGGCCAGGGCCACTGTAGCTTTTATATACCACAGGGTGTGTTTCCTATTTCAAACAGAACATTTGAGCCTTTTTGTCAATGTGCCTGTGCTTTAGGGGAGCTTTTGGTAGTTACTGTGAATCCTGAAATAATTTTGCCTCTTTTTTGCTCTTGTTCGCGTCCAGTGTTTCATCCTGATCACAGCTCCTCTGCTTCCTAAGCTTCCTAAGCTTGCCCCTGGCGTAAGTGGGTTGGTTTCCTCTCTTGATCACTTCTGTGTGCTGCAGGGTAATTTCGCCACGTCGGGGCATTGAATAAAGACAATTATATCCGCTTCCTAAATTACTCTACCTTTTAAATTCATTTTCAGTCACTGGTGTTCACTTTATCTGCTTAACCATTTTCCACTATTTTCAAATTAGACATTTTCCTATGTTTAAGCCATTCGGACACAGCCTTTACCTGCAGAAAAAGTTATCCAGCCCCAACCAGTTTGGCTCAGTGGATAGAGCATCGGCCTGCAGACTGGAGGGTCCCAGGTTCAATTCCGGTCAAGGGCAAGTACCTTGGTTGCGGGCACATCCCCAGTGGGGAGTGTACAGGAGGCAGCTGATCGATGTTTCTAACTCTATCCCTCTCCCTTCCTCTCTGTAAAAAATCAATAAAATATATATTTTTTAAAAAGTTATCCAATGGGATTGAAATTCTGAAAGGTTTTTTTTAATTGTTTTGTCCTAAAAAGAGAAGTCAGGTTTCAAGTGTTATTTTAAAACTTAAATATGATAGACAAGCAAGGAGGACATGGGAGAAGTATTTCTGGAGACCCGCACTATTAAGCATTATTTCACCTTTCACTTTTAAGTACACCAGTATGTGGGCTAGAAGCCGGGCGGGGGGGGGGGGGGGGGAGTGTCCCATTCTGAATGCTGAACACTGGGGTTTGTTCATCTCGGTCACAGCGTCAGGAGGCTGTGGGGCCCTGGGAAGCTGGTTAGTCTTTCCAGGCCTCCATTTCCTCATTTTTATTTTATTTTATTTTTAAAAAATAAATGTTCATTGATTTCAGAGAGGAAGGGAGAGGGAGAGAGAGATAGAAACATCAATGATGAGAGAGCATCATTGATCGGCTGCCTCCTGCATGACCCCCACTGGGGATCGAGCCCGCAACCCGGGCATGTGCCCTTGACCAGAACCTAACCTGGGACCCCTCAGTCTGCAGGCTGATGCTCTATCCACTGAGCCAAATCGGCTAGGGCTCGGTCTCCTCCTTCTTAAATGAGCACACTAGTAGTAGCCTCTTCTTCATTTACAAAGAATCACTGAGACAATGGAGCTGTGCCCTGTCGGGCCGGTGCGCAGGGGAAGCGCTGGAACGCGCCGGCTTACTGTCCCGCAAAGAGCTGGCTCCTCAGTTTGACTAACTGGTATTTGAAAACAGAATAAACAGGCTGAGAAGTCTCAAAACAAGGAACCAGAAATAGTCACTTTGAGCCAACTGCCATCTTGAGCGATTTGATTTCAATGTATTCTTTAAAAAAAATAAACACAATTTTAAAAATTGCATTGTCATGTCCATCGTCCAATGAATGGATAACCAAAGTGTGGTATACCCATACAATGGAATATTACTTGGGCGTAAAAAAGGAATGAAGTGCCAACATACATGATAGAACAAGATAAACCTTGAAAACAGCACGCTAAGTGAAAGGAGCCGGACACAAGAAACCACCTATATTTGACCCCATTCACATAAAATGTCTAGAACAGGGAACTGTATAGATTAGTGGTTACCTGGAGTTGGGGCTGGGGGTGGAAGCGGGGAGGAGTGAAATGATAGCTAAAGCATACGGTTTCTTTTTAGACGGATGAAAAAGCTCTGAAAATGGACTGCGGCAATAGGTGCGCATATCTGTGAAAATACGAAAAGCCACTGAATTGTATACTTTAAATGGGTGAACTAATCTTAATAAAAGCTGTTAAAAATTTTAAAAATCTGCATAAGTAGCACCTGTTAATTACAGAAAAATTAGAAACCACAGAGGAGTGAACAGAAAAAAAAAAAATGAAATCACCTCGATCTCCCCATCAAGAGGAAACCACTGACAGCACCGGGTGGGTGCCCCTTTCCCTCTGCGACATCACCGAAGCGGTATTTGATGGAAGTAGACTTATGCCGTGCAAACCGCGCCGTGAGCTGGTGTTTATGTGTTCCCCAGCAGCCCATGCATCTTTGCATTTGGCAGATCTGCGTCCACATCTTCTCGGAGGGCCCGGCTTCGCTGAGGTTATTCTGGGCACCAGCGCAGGCTCGGGCTTCCAGCCTCCACACTTCCCAGGGAGCTGGAAGCAGGTACGGCCGGGCCACCCCCAGCGCCTCCCGCCCCGCCTGGCCTGGGCGCCATGGGTGACAGGCAGAAAATTTATGAGCAGCTGGAGTTGGCCGCTGTGTGCGGAGGGCAGGAACATGGCGTGAATCAAGGATCACACTGTGTCCAGGCTGGGAGGGCCGGTGGAGGTCTCAGGCGTCTGCGAGCTGCGAAGTTACGGCCAGAGCCCCTGGTGAGCCAGGAGAGTCTGCCTGGGGACCATGAATCGGGAGAAAAATTCATTTACTCAACAAAGATTGATTGAGCTCCTCCTGGAAGCCAGCTCTGTGACAGGCACTGCGGCTCCGGTCCCTCTCCCGGGCCGCGTTCAGCCCGGCTCCAGGGGAAAGCTGCAAACCACTGCTGCCGGTAAATGCTGCCGGTCCGCCCATTCCCCGATCTGTTCTGTTCCTCGGGCTGCTGACCGGCGGTGGCTGAGCTGGTGGGGATCCCGGCCGCGGTGTGGAACAGCTGCCCGAGCTGCTCAGAGGCCTCCCTGCCCCACACGCCCCAGCTTCCCAGGTTGGGCATGGGTGGGTCTGGCAGGCCAAACCACTCATTTACTGAGGCCAGTGGGTATGCCCAGACCTCAGGGTCAGTCGATGTCATGCAGAAGAACTTTCCTTCCAGTGAGAAACAACCACTGCATCCGACAAAGTCTACCAGCTGTGTGACTTTAAGCAAGTTGCTTAACCTCTCTGTGCCTCAGTTTCTTTATCTATACAATCTATATAATAAAAGCCTACGCGACCGTTACGGCGGAACGACCAGAACAACCGGTCGCTGAGAATGAGAGCAGGTGACCCCGGGGCCCCTCTGTGCCAAGGTGCTCGGAGGGAGCTGGGTCTCGGGTTTCCTGTCCGCGCACAGCCCGCACCCCACACTGTCCTGCAGCCTCGCTTGGGGTTCCTGCCGCCCACTGAAAGGAGAGCTCCAGGGGGGAGAGGTTCTGGTGGCTATGCCCCTGCTGTCTCCCCGTCCAGGGCAGTGAGGGCCGGCTCCAGCCCAGCCTCTTAGCCCCTGGCTCCCACCTCCACTGCAGGTGGAGAAACTCCCCCTACATCCCTCCGTGCCACAACTCATTGTGGTGCCATTGCCATCATTCCCTCGCTCACCCCACCTATCTCCAACCAGCGCTCCTGAGGGCTCTGCCACACCCCTGTCCGCCCCCAGGCCTGGGAACAGCAGCGAGTGGCTCGGTGCTCAGAGCCACATCACTCGGGCAGCCTCGGCCCAGCACCACGCTGCACCCCTTCGCACTTGTGGTCGCATATGGTCCCCGGGGACGACCACTGCTGCTTTCGTTTTGCAGACTAGGAAATGGGCCCTGAGCAGCTGCCTCCCTCGCCCAGGCCCCCCTGCAGGGATGCAGCAGAGCCAGGCAAACCCCGACCCCTGCAGAGTTCAGCTTCTTCACTGGCAAAAGGGACTGGCAAGTCCCCAAACCATCCACCCAGCCGCCACCTCCCTGGGTTCTAAGAAAATCTCAGCCGTTGTCCCTTGGAGCCTAAGGGAAGGTGGCTGGCCCTGGGAGTCCTGGCGCTGGCAGTGCCGGGCCAGAGCTCACACGGAGCCCGCCAGGCTGCAAGGGCCCAGGGAGACCGAGGCCCCCGCCGTGCTGACTCCTTCCTGGGCTGCAGGCCACTCTCTCTGGCTGCCAATCTCTGTTTCTGTCTCCATGCTCTGCCTGCATGTCTCTGTGCCAACCCCCTCTTGGCCTTTCCTGTGTTTATCTCTCCACGTCCATCAGCCTATCTGTCTTTCTTGGCCCCCAATCCACCCACAGTGCAGGGCACCGCGAGGGTCGAGCTGGCCCGGTGACGCCTGCGGCCCAGCTGCTGCAGCTTCCCATCTGCTTCCCATCCTGTGATGCTGTCAGCCAATCCCACTTGGCTACCCGCTGCTCTTCCAGACCCAGAAGCTCAAGGACCCATGAGCTTGCCCAGAGCCAGAGGAGGCACCCAGGCTGGAGGGGAGCAGACAGCTGTGCAGACAGGGGCGGGCAGCCAGGTGAGGAAGGCCTGCTCCCTCCTGGCCTCCACACCACACAGACACACACTCCCAACCTGGGATCCCCATCAGGCCTGCCTCCTCGGGGCGGGGGCTGCTGCCCATCACTCTGCTGCCTCTCCCAGTCCTCCCCTCCCCAATCCTGACCACAGAGAGACAGCAGGAGTGATGGGGCGCCAACCAGACAAGCCATTCATGCCAAAGTGCTGGCCGCCTGGTCTGTGGACAGACCACAGTGTGTCTCCCCAGGAGGAGTCTAGCTCTGGGTATTTCAAGATCAGTGGCGGCAACAATAGGGTGGCTGGGAGAGACCACAAGATCCCTGGACAGCCCAAATAACCTAATGATTTCTGCAAACAGTGTGAAAATGCAGCTTTAAGATGAGAAAAATACCCCCTGAGCCCTTCCCATCACCCCTAAGCCCTGCACAGACAGACCCTGGAGCCAGCATGGGGTTCAGCAGGAATGGGACATCTCGGCTTGGGGGCTCTTGACTCACTACCACCCGGACCGTTAGTGACAACACAACAGTAGCTTCCAGATGCATACGGGAGAGGCCACAACTGGAAAGAGAAACAGTTCTTTCACCCACACTCATGCATACACACACACTCTCCACGCCCACAGGTGTGAGCATACGCAACTCAGCACCGTGGTTACATGGAGCAGCTATGGCATCAGGCAGCCTCTGTTTGAATCCTGACTTCCCCATTCTACCAGCTGTGTGACTCTGAGCAAGTTGCTTAACCTCTCTGTGCCTCAGTTCCTTTATCTATAAAGTGGTAATAATAATAATCTACCTCATGAGATAGTAAGCGAGATTAAAGAACACAGTGGCCACAAAGCCCAGCACTCAGCATCAGGCAGCCACATGCCAGAGCACACACACACGTGTGGGTGTCTGTGTTTACACGTGCTCCTCAAGGCAGGCACTGTGTCCCCGCTTCAGAGTGCCAAGGCCCCACTCAGTACAGGGCACAGAGGAGTTGCCCATTAGCTATTGCGGAGGACGACTGGGACACATCATTTCCTTGAGCTTCCATCATTCCGTGCATTTGGCAAAAATCTTCTGAGTGTTTAGACCAAGCCAGGCTCCATTCAAAGCACTGAGGATTCTGCCGCGAGCAAACCACAAGGAGCCCTGCCCTCCCCACGCCGACGTCCCAGGAGGAGCACGTTTCCCTACGGAGGAAAGGAAGCCTCTCGCTTTCCGTGCCAAAGAGCGTGGGCAGGTCCTTTCCCAACAACGGATGCACTTCCCCGCACCCTCAGCCAGACGTTACTGCATGTACTTTAGCTTCCTCTTGACAACTCAAGGTCAAGCCCAGAAGTGTCCGTCTACAGAAGGCTCTCCAGGCCCCTGACACGTGTGGGGCCCTTCGCCCCGACGCGCAATGGCCCCAGGTCTCTTGGCTCTTCTCAGCCTCTGGCGTTGCTCCGTGTGCTTTGCTGCTGCTTCCCAGACGACCAGGCCCCTGGCTGCGATTCTGGGTGCTGTCACTGCACCTGCTCCAGGAGCTGGCCTCCCACGTCAAAAGGCCGTTTCTGTTCAGCTGCTCTGATTTGAGACGCCAGGGAGTCAAGCTTGTAAGCACAGACTGCAAGCAGTAGGTCCCGACCCACCGGCTCTCCTCTCCAGTGCGCGTCCATGCCTGGCCTCGCGTTTCCCCCTGTGTTCCAAAGGGCGGGGCCTTTGTTTGGATCTCCGAGGGACCCAGCACCCAGAACGCTGCCTGGCACGTAGCAAACACTCAAAACTACTTATTCTTAAGTAAATGTGCGGGGCCTTCCTGCTCTCTCCATCTCCCTCTGCTCGTGTAACTAAAGAGACTGAACAGGTGACGTGGGTGGGCAGTGAGGATGTGTAGAGGGGATGGGTTTGCAAATACAGCCCTGCAGGCTGCCCACCCTCGTCCTGTGTGTGTGTGGGGGGGGGGGGGGCGGGGTGGCAGCAGCATATCACGGTCATGGAGGGGGTGGGTGACTCTCAGCAACGCGGTGTAGCTGTTCTCCATCTGGGTGGGCTCACGGGCTGCCCCCACGGGCCCATCTCTAAGTGCTCCTGACCCCCAGGGGAGAGGGACAGGGACCCCAGGGGTTCTGAACCCCTCGGAGACCTTCAGCCATCACCCAGTGTGCACCCCCTTCCCACCTGAAGGGGAGGCCCTCCATCTGCTCCTGACAGATGGTGCCTATAGACGCGCCAGCACACCTGTGCAGGTGTGTACACATCTCTCTCTCTCTCTCTCTCTCTCTCTCTCTCTCTCTCTCTCTCTCATGGCAGACGGCAGAGGGTCAGACCCAGTGTCCTCTGCCTGGCAAAGGAATCAAGCTCTCGGTCAGCAACCAGTCTGGTAATCACTCTCCAAGTCTCTGGGTGGGGAAGGGACATTTGGGGTCCCTCTGCCCACCTTCCTGACAGACCAGCCGTGTCTTCCAGGAAGCCCTCAGCCGGTGCTGCGCTCCTAGCTGACAAGCCCTTGCCTGGCCTGTTTCCTGGGGCCCTGCTCACCTGCGGACGCATTTTCCCGTGTTTTATGAACACAGTGGAGCTTGCAGCAGGCACGTGCCTGAGGTTACAAGGCTCCCGAGTGGCTGGGCTGGGATGCAGACCCTGGTGTCCCAGCTCCAGGCCCTGTACTGCCAGACACCCCCTGCCGCTCACACCTTCCCCTGCCGGAGCGGAGGACAGTGAGCACCTGGATTCAGGAGCACTCCCTTCATGGGGCCAGATGAGCCTGCCTGGCCCCATCCAGCCCGCCAGCTGTGCGACCTGGGTGATCTGGGTCCCAGCCTGCTCATCTGGCCCCAGGGTCAGTGATGTGGCCCTGAGGAGGCTGCCACCGGAGTCGAGGGAAGAACGAGCAGGAACGGGCTCGGCACGCCGTGAAATGCTGTGCACAGGCACCAGGCTGCCAGGCTCTCCACTGGCACGCGTTTGGCAGGGCTGCCGTGAGGGTGGGCAAGCTCACAGAAGTGGGCTTTGCCATCTGATAAAGGTGATGACACAGGTTAGCCCTACTGGGGAGGAAACCACTTGTCACAGGGGAGGGTCAGCCCCCCAGGGATGAGCCACCTGACTGTTCATCCTGCCCCTTCCCAGCCGAGAGCCCTGCATGTCTTTCTCAGTTTCAGGAGGAGCCCCCGACTTCACGGGAGGTAGGGGATGTCCGGGCAGGACTCGCTGAACTGGTGAGGAGAC